GGCCTCCCAAAGTGCTGGGATTACAGGCTTGAGCCACCGCGCCCGGCCTGTTTTGTTGTTTAAAGACAGGGTCTTATTCTGTCACCCAGGCTGGAGAACAGTGGCGAGATCACAGCTCACTGCAGCCTTGACCTCCCGGGCTCATGCGATCCTCCCACTTCAGTCTCCCATGTAGCTGGGACCACAGGTCCGCACCACCATGCCTGGCTAATTTTTTGTAGAGATGTGCTGTCCCTATGTTGCCCACGCTGGTCTCAATTTCCTGAGTTCAAGCGATCCTCCTGCCTCGGTCTCCCAAAGTGCTGGGATTACAGGCGTGAGCCACCACGCCCAGCCATATGCTTCCATTTTTATGAAATGTCCAGAATAGGCAAATCCATACAGACAGAAAGTAGGTTAGTGGTTGCTTAGGGCTGGGAGTGTGGGGGAGGAGGGGGCGGGTGACAGCTGAGCGATGCGGGGTTTCTTTTTGGAGGTGATGAAAATGCTCTAAAATTGACTATGTGGATGACTGCCTATATCTGCAAATATACTAAAACTATTATACATTTAGAGGGACGAGCTACGGTATGTTAATTATATCTTAATAAAGTTATTTTAAAAGCTCTGAGTCAACTCCTGTGTCTCTTTGGCTCAGAAGCCCCTGGAGGCTTGTGTGCTCCTCAGAGTCACAGCCAAGTCCTCTCCATGCCCGTGAGGTCTGACAGGATCTAGCCAGCACCCACCACTCCCACCAAGCTCCCTGGCTCCCAGCCCCTCTGCACTGGCTGGCTGGCTGGCGTTCAGATGCGCCAGCACACTCCCGCCTCTGTGCCTTTGCACAGTCTGTGCCTGCTACCCAAGTGCTCTTCCCCCAGACACCTGAAGGGCTCCCTCCCTCAGCACCACAACCGCTATGATTACCTCCTCATGCCTTTGTTATTGCCTGTCTTCTGGAGCCAGAGCGTAAGTCCCAGAGAGTGGGGGACTTCACCGTTTCACTCACTACTGTGTGTACACCCAGCACCCAAAACAGCGCCTAACATGTGGTGGCTGCTCAAAAAATGTATACTGAATGGGCCAGGCATGGTGGCTTATGCCTGTAATCCCAGCACTTTGGGAGGCCGAGGTGGGTGGATCACTTGAGGTCAGGGGTTCAAGACCAGCCTGGCCAACACGGTGAAACCCCATCAATACTAAAAATACAAAAATTAAGTGGGCGTGGTGGTGCACGCCTCTAATTCCAGCTACTTGGGAGGCTGAGATACGAGAATCACTTGAACCCAGAGGCGGAGGTTGCAGTGAGCTGAGCTCACACCACTGCATTCCAGCCTGGGCGACAGAGCGAGACTCCGTCTCAAAAAAAAAGTTTGCTGAGGCCG